AGTTGCTTCAGTTGAGTTTAACTTATTTGGATTGATTATAAAGTTGTTATAGATGATCATACGGTTTATGTGTTATGCACTGTTTTAGAAGCATTTATTAGGCGTTGCTTGGGTGTTGGTCTTCTGTGGTTTAGACCCTAAATGTCTTAGAGTACGAAGCTTGCTTTTTATGCCTTAGTGTGCTTGTAGCACTCATTTCTTATTAATAATTTTATTGGCTTTTTAAATGGTCACAAGGGTAGACCTTTGGTCAAATAAGTTAATCCAAGATAATTTTACGTTAAATACCTATTTGTCTGCCCAAACGCTACGAGTCGAGTAGGATGCACTCAAACAACCTCCAAACTTTGTGTTTATAGTCAAAATATGTCCCTTGATTAGTTGTATCTAACAAGTTTAGGATAATATAATGAGTTTGTTAAGGCATTCATATGCTTAAAAATATGATAAGATGATCAATTCACATAGCCTAATTAAGTGCATAAGGTAATTCTAGATAAGACTTGGATTGTCCCCATCAAAATCCATAAATAAACATAGTTATACCCATTTTTCATCAGTATAAAGTTAAAGAGAAATCTATGATTCGTAGAGAAATTGATAACTTTTTCTGCAATCTGTTAGATCGGTCCAACCAGTCCTCACGGGACCGGCTTAGACGGAACATGCGGAAGAGTTCCGCCTCTTCCTGTACGCACGACCGAGCCGCCAAAGCCAACAAAGTGATTTAGGAAGGATTTTTTGGGGAGTTAGGAGGGAAATTTGAATGTAGGGATTGTTTAGGGATTTTCTTTTGAATTGTATGCATTAAATAGTTTGTTTTCCTAGTATTAGGGCATCTTGAATTTGGGCTAAAACTTGAGATCTCTTAGGTTTATGTTTTTTTGGGCTCTAGTAGTGTCTAGAGATTTGGGATAGATAGATCCTCCTCTCGAATTGAGGATCGACTGTATCTTGGTATTTTCCTTTTCCCTTTTATCAATAATACAAATTATATATTGTTTTTATGTTTTTTTGTGGAGAATTCTCGCTGTTTTCCGAGGATTGATAGGAAATAGTTGAGATCTACAATTGTTTCCTATCACAATCATTCGTTGTCCGTCGTGGACTGATGTTTACACCAATCGTCATGTTACTCGATATTGGTCATTAACCAACATCAATGCCAATCTTTGCCTACCGTATGATATTAGTTGTCAACTAACAATAACACTCATCACCTTCTACCAATCGACATCGACTATCAACTAATATTGACACTCGCCATTATGGATGACCTGATAATAAGCATGCGGGCTTCGAATTGTCCTATATGCAGGGAGAGTTTTAACTGATTATGTTCCATGAAAAGTTTTTGGATGGCATATTGGATAGAGATAAGATATTACCCAGAGATTATGTCATATGAGTGAGGACTTTAAGATTTGAGTTCTTGTTTCCTATAGGCGTAAGGCCCTATAGTCAATTACCCCTCTCGATAATAAAAGAACACTATCAATTAATGTTAGCTATTAAACATAAACTTAGTATCCAGCGTATAGTAGCAACTGGATTAGATATTTAAAATTTAAAATTTATCACTGCACACTTAAAGTGGATGCAGGGGGATTTATGATGGACCTGATTAAGATCCTATGGTTCAATCGTTTTGGATCATCATGATTCCTAGTCTTGTTAGTCAGACGAGGTAATCCACCCAACCTGACCGAATGATCCTTACTGATAGCCATGAGTTTATTCGTTCAAGGATGCCTTGTGGACTTGGGGTGAGTGTTTGTTTAAGAGACAAATTCAAGTTGACCTTAGCTTACAGAGGGCTTTGTGTCTTATTAATTATACCATATAATTCATTACTCAATGGTAGCTAGCCATTGGGGAACACCCGGACTTTTAGCCATAATTATAAGACAGTGGAGTTGTTCAACCATGCCACTAGGTCAGAGAGTCGCGATCATAATTATTTATCATATGGAACCATTTTGGCCAAGCCACTGGTTCTTTGTGGAGCCGTTTGACCACTGCATGAGCGAAAGTAAGTTTCCCCGCCACGCTTATCAGAAGCGGATGAGTACTTATTTGAGTTTAGAAATTATAACTATGCACTTGAGGCAACGATGACGACGAAATGACGAGGGATCAAATCACAAGCTCTCTCGCTCTCTCTCTCTCTCTCTCAATTTCTTTTAAATATCTTTTTTTTCTGTTTTCTCTTTTTTTAATACTAATAATAATAATAGTAAGAATGTTCTCTGTCAGACAGAAAATCGAGAGAGTAAGCTGCTATTTGCTGGGATGAGGTAGGTGGCAGCAGTTGAGTGTAGTGGGTATGTGGATTCGGCTGGGTAGTGGAGAAGGGTGAGGCAACAGGTAGGAGGTTTAGTAGAAGGGTGAGGTTGAGCTATCGTGTTGAATGAGGAGGAGAGTATATGCTGCTATAGTTGTTGGAACTTGGAATTAAGCTCGGTCGCTTGCTGCATGCGAATCCAGACAGCAGGAAAGTGAGTTGCTTGGGAGTTTGAATAGGTGGCTGCTGTTTTGAGTGTGAAGGATCGGCAGGACGTCTTAGTGGAAGGAGTTGGGTCTTGCAGGAAACAGAGGGTGTGTAGTAAGGAGATGTGTTCGATCCAGACAATAGTGCAGGAAACTGAGGCTGAGCTGATAGGGTATACATTTTTAGTTATGAAATATATATGAATATGTATATATGAATTAATTTAATTTAATGTAAGAATTAAAGAAATATAATTTAATCTCTCATTCATTTTTTTTTAAAAATTTATCGTGCATCTCAGTTTATGTGCTTGGCCTATATTTTCCTGCCGTCTTGAAATTCATATCGTCGCCTTTAAACCATGCTGATTTTGTATTTTCAGATTGTGGTCCACCCTAGACAATATTATAGTCATTTCTAGGTATTTTCAATGTTTTGGATGCAGCGACGAAGTCCGTTTTTGTGAATGGACGATGTTCAGGCAAAGTCGCTCAACATTCCGTCTGTAGTCCATTGATTTTAATCGCCTTCTCTAAGCTCCTTCATGAGAGTGACCTTCTTGAGTAGATTTTGTGTTTTAGACATATCGACACAATCCGTATTGGCGAGCATAAGTCGTTCAGGCATTTTTTTGTAGCATCGCGCTCACCAACCGTCGTGCTAGTCATCTTTTTCAATTGAATTGTGCACAAATGACTCTTCCTTGATAAATATGGTGTCCTGAAAACACCGATGCAGTCCATTTTGCATTTGGACCAAGTTTGACCTGATGTCTGACGGTTATCATTCGTGTCACATTAACTTGCTTGAATTGATTATGAACTATGCATGGAGGTCAACAAAGCATAATTCTAGTTTTGATTATTGTTCGTCGCCTTTCACTAATGCTAGGCATTTTTCGACTAACACCATCCAACATCTATAGTTAATTGTCGTTCAATGCTTGCCATCCTAGTTGATCACTTTTCCCTTCCATCAAGAGAGCAACTAAGTCAATAGGCCATCATCATGTGACTTCTGATATTCCTCACCCTCCCTCATCTAAACACCAGTAATTTCTCTTCGTCAACATCAGATGTTTGGCAAGCAATATTGCATGATGTCCACAATAGATGTTGTATGCTGAATGAAATTTGTAGTTTTTATGGAATATGATTCTAAAATTTCTTCAATTTCATTTTGTATATGTTTTCGTTCTTTATTTTCAATGAAAAATTTTTTGTATAGTTTTTTTTTTTTTTTCGAATTTATTTTAATTTTTTTACTTTTAATCATAATTTTGTATTTAAAAATAGAAAATATGTGGGGCTTATGCCGGTTCTTGTGACATAAAAACTACATCATTCTACACTTCAACTTATTGAATATAAGGTATAAGGTTTAACATTAGTTGGCTATGATGCACTGACACGGACACGGCGACATGACACGGGACACGACAATGTTTAAAAATATAGGACACGGGTGCGGCGTGGACACGACATAATAATTTTTTAATATAATATATAATAATTTTTAAAAATATAGGACACGGACACGGCGTGGACAGATGGCTCTTTTGAACCTTCACCTAATCCACCCCCGCTAGCAGCAGAGCTCATTTTGCTAACAAACCAATCATACATATGAATACATCAAATTAAATTGATATGAAGTGAAATCAAAATATCCCAATGATAAGACAACATGAATACAACAATATACCAGTCTGCCGGGAGTCCAAGGGGGTGCTGCCCCTTGGCGGGGTTCGACCTGCCCAGTCAGGTCTCGGGGTCAAGGGGCAGCGCCCCTACGGGGGTTTCCGAGGGCAGCGCCCCCGGAACAAAATTTTATTGTAAGAGTAATTTTGAAGTTATGCTTGTTTTTAAAGTTCGTAAGTTGTTTGTATGGGAAGATACCAAGTGGTACCGAGTATGTATCTAGCAGTACCGAGCATGTACATAGCAGTACCTGAGAATGTACCTAGCAGTACCGAGCATGTACCCAGCGGTACTGAAGTACTGAGCGGTACCGAGCATGTACCTAGCGGTACCGAGCATGTACCAAGCGGTACCGAGCATATATTGAGCGGTACCGAGCATGTACTGAGCGGTACCGAGCATGTACTGAGCGGTACCGAGCATGTATTGAGCGGTATCGAGCATATATTGAGCAATATCGAGCATGTACTGAGCGGTATCAAACATGTACTGAGTGGTACCGAGCATGTACCTAGCGGTACCGAGCATGTACCTAGCGATACCTCATTTAATAACCGGACACGCGTGTCCGATTTTAATTTTAATTTTTTAAATTGCGACACTCTAATGCCGTGTCTAACACGTGTCCATGCTGTGTCCGAGGCGTGTCCGTATCGACACATGTTCGACACTGCATACCCTCTTTAAGTGCCGTGTCGGTGCATCATAGTTAGCTGGACTGGCAGGCAGACTACAAAAATCATTTTGTTTGCATTCTTCTTCAACTTCACTTTATTTGTTTTAACTTTTGATTTCAACTCGTATGGACAGTAAGCATGCCCATTGAAACTTGAAAGTTTATGCATATTACCTGGAAATTTTTTGTTATAAGGATGGGAACATGCCATGACGTCATCCTTGGTAAAGATATTGAATGCGGGAAATAACCTTTTAGTTAGTGAATCTCAAGCCTCAAATTAGTTCTAAACCTAATTATCTCACTGCTGCCTTCTACTTGGTAATCTTCAAATGAAAAAAAAAAAAAAACGCTCACTTATTTCACTCTTTTGCTTGATGCATACAAAATTCAGCCTTTTGCGAAGAAGACAATCATAGTTACCCGTTTTAGTGACAGAATTTTAACATGAAGTGCTAAATATTGATCGCAGATACTATGTTCTTCTCAGTGTTCTTAAAGACAAAACTTGGCCCTCTGTTACTTTTTGGGAGCAGCATACGGTGTTTGAGTAGCTACCTCAATACAGCAAAGTTTGACTTAACAGACTTGACGTAAGTCATCAAATTTTAATACTCATCAATTACAAATCTATTGTTAAGGGTATATTTATGATTTTTTCTGTAACATTGATTTAGATTTTGTATTATCTCTAACACTCATCACTCGAGTCTTTATAATTTTGAATAGAAATTCTTCATCATCAACGTCATCATCATGATTAGCCTTCTCCTAATTATTTGGTGTCAGCTTTATAAGTCCTTATTCTACATTTGTTCATGCTGAGCACTGAATGAGCTATTAAACTTATTCTTCTCAAAAAAGTTTTCTTGCAACTTCTATCTTATGGGGATCATATTTTTCTTAATTCTTTGACTTTAATTTTAGCTGCTCGTTGCATTATTTGCCTATCTTATATGGGCATTAAATTTATTAGAGAAGGGCCAAAATGGTTCTGAACTTTTTTGAGGGACCAATTGATGTAGACACACAAGAAGAAACAGACACAATGGATAAAACTTAAAACAAACTTTATTAAAATAGAAACAGACAGCTAAGTCTTGACAAACACAACAAGAAATATTAGAAGAAATAAAGGAAAATAAAAAGACGTTATCCTCAGACAATCGTCAGAGCGGGTTCCTCACATGCATCGAATAGTAGATTAAATAAAAGAAGTGCATAAGACTAGCAAACCGATGGTCCACCACTGCAAGACTGTCCCAAATGCTTCCAAATCAACCAAGACACGACACCCTAAAGTTGCTTTATTGTTGAGAAGAAGTGATGAGGTCATCGACAGACATTTTAGGCAGGTTTATCGGCGAAGGAATCGTAGATCGACGACTACGATCGGGAGTTTATATTTTTGATGTTATCATGTTGTTTTATGTTATTTTATTTTGTGTATCTTTTATTTCATGTACTAGTGACATTTCGCCCTTATGTAGGCGTAGTGTTTATTGTAGCCCAAGGGGCATATGATTCTTTTTTTTCTTTTCATATTTTGAGACCTTTTATAAAGAGGTCTCTTCTTGATGTATGAGGTTAATGCTTGATTAATAAAAATTCTGAGATTTTGCCTTTGTCTTCTTGCTTGAGAGCTTGAGAGAAAGAGAGGAGGCCTTGGAGAGGCTCCACCCGAAGTACCCAACAGCCCACCACGGTGAGCTCTTGGTTTTATATTGTTTTGTTCGTTGTTTTCTCTTCCTCTCCACCCCCATTCCACTCACCCGACCACCCCTCCTCCCTCTCTAAATTTTTCCTGCAGCCGACCCTCCCAAAATCCCCCCTGAGCCACCGATTTCCCCTGCCTGAACCCGCCTTCCCCTTCCTCTGCCGCCAATCCCGAAATTCCTTGCACCCGCCCTCCTTGCCGCCTGCTGTGCCAGGCGCTGTGATAGGAAGTACTTGAGTTCTCAAGTATTCCTAACCAAATCAGTGAAAATACAACAGCAAACTGCTGTCCACAGCAGAAATCAGCAGGAAAAAACAGGGAAATCTGAGAGAAAACGCAAGAAATGACTTGTATTTCACTCGCAATGAAAGCAAAACAAAGAAAGATACAACGTTCTTCGATTCGAGAGGAAGAACAACTCTCCACAAGTCTCTAGCAAACCCTAGAGCCCAAGAACACCAAGAGATCTCAAACTTTTCATTCAAATTCAAGATGACGAGCCAATCCCCCCAAAACTCCTAATTATACAAATTAATCATAAAGGATCATAATGGACTTCCTAAAACAGCCTCCCATTCAAAAATTTTCCCTCCCCCATGCGTTTTAGCCGCTGTTTGGGCCCCCCGACTCGCGCTCCGCGCGTTTCGTCTGGTTCCGCCCGACGTTGGTTTGTCGGGTGTAGAACCGGACCGGTCCAACTGGGACCGGTCCAGGCGTAACATTACTCCCCTCCCAAAAACTCACCTTGTCCTCAAGGTGAAAGGAGGGGAATTGCTCTTTCACTCTTTCAAACGGCTCCCAAGTCGCGTCGAACTCAGGGAGGTCCTTCCATCGAATCAACACTTCCTTGTTGCCTTCTTGATCTGATCTTACCCCCATAAGCTCGAGGGGCTCCAATATCACTTCCCAATCCTCTGTCATTGTTGCTGGTAATGCGGCGCTAATTGCGTGCTCCCCGAGGGCTCTCCTCAGCTGTGACACATGGAACACCGGATGTATAGTAGCATAGGGAGGTAACTTCAGACGATACGCTACTGCTCCCACCCTCCCCAAGATCTCATACGGGCCAAAGTATCTCGGGGCCAGCTTCTCGTTCCTCCTGCTAGCCACTGATCTCTGTCTGTAGGGTCTTAGCTTTAAAAACACTTTTTCCCCCACTTCATATTGTATGTCTCTTCTATGGGTATCTGCTCGCTTCTTCATTATTTGTTGTGCCCTCTCCAGATGTTTCTTCAACTCTTCCAACACCTGGTCCCTCTCCTCTAAGTACTGTTCGACTGAAGAGACAGGTGTATGTCCCTTCCCATAATGTACTAAGTGTGGGGGGTCTCTTCCATAGAGCACCTTGAAAGGAGTCATCTGGGATGCCGAATGGTAAGAAGTGTTATACCAGTACTCCGCCCATGGCAACCATTTAGCCCATTTCCTGGGTGTTTCAGAGGCAAAACACCTCAAATAAGTCTCCAAACTCCGGTTGACCACTTCTGTTTGTCCATCTGTCTGTGGGTGGTACGCGGTGCTCCTCTTGAGAGTTGTGCCCTGCATTCTGAACAGTTCTCTCCAAAACTGACTGAGGAACACTTTGTCTCTGTCCGACACAATAGATTCTGGAATCCCGTGTAATCGAACCACTTCCCTGATAAATGCTGCCGCCACTGACACTGCGGTGTAAGGATGTCGTAGGAGGATAAAATGTGCGTATTTACTGAGTCGATCCACCACCAATCTATCATGATCATTGGATGCTTTCCCATCATTGGATAGCTAAAAAAGAAAAGAAAATAAAATAGAAAACAAAATATACTATTGTTCAAATAAAATAAAAAGTACATAAATTCTTGATAACATCACCAATTTGATCCCTCAACTCTTTAAAATGAGATTTTTTAGTCCTCATATCTAATGTTGGAGTTAATGATGTTAATGTTTAGGATATTTTGGTCATTTTTAATAATAATTTTAGTCATATTTTATAAAATATGATTGGTAAAAATATGTGTGACTAAGTTAAAAATAACATCTATTTGCATTAGATTTTTCTAAATCAATAAATATCATATTTTATAAAATATAACTAAAATTATTATTAATTTTTTATTAAAAAAATGTTTAATAATTTTTTTTTCTAGAAAAATTATTCTTAATTGAAAATTACAATTAATAAATGTTTAATTAAAAAATAACAAAAATACCATTAACTTCAATATTAGATGTCAGGATAGAAAATGTACTATTTTAAAGAGTTGAGATACCACCAGAGTTGGGGATTATTTTGGTCCCTCACAAAGAGTTGATGGTCCATTTTGGTTGTTTTCTCTTAAATTTATCTTATATTCAGCAAATGCCTCAATAAAAAAAAAAATTAAAATCAAAATCCAAGTTGTAGTGGGCATCAGCCTGTGTTCTTGCTGCTGGATCTGTTTTAGATAACTTCATTGAATTAGAAACTGTGTGAAGCTTTGCTTATTACAAACCAATAGTCAAGACACGTCCTTTGCTAAACTGAAGTAACCTTGATTTTTTCCCCTTAACTAGACAATATTAATATTTATTCCGTTATTGTAATTTTTATTTTAAGTCTTTGTTTTGAGGTCTTCCTCTGATAAAAAGAACTGGTTATTTGTTAAAGCATATTCATGGTAGTGTCATCATTAGCCTTATCTCAACTATTTACTGTCTCATTTATGAATCCTCACAATCCCTTCATCCCTGCTTACTGCTTCATTTAGTTGAGGTAAGGCTAATGATAAGGATGATGGAGATGCAGTATTATTATGGATAATTGGTGTTGGTTTGTTTTCCAAACAAGAGCTAGACTTCTAATACAATTATATTAAAATTATATTCTAAGTTTATTCTTGTAAATCGTGGTGTCCATATTTTCCTGGGTAGGTAAGTTTCTTTATGATTTGCCATAGTGATTATAGCAGTTGAAGTGGAAGGGAGCATTGCATTAATGTTGTAATAAAATTTCAGCATTTACACGATGATTGCAGAATTTAGTATGCTGAAGTAATGTAATAATAAAATTTTAGATAGGAAATCTTATTACAAAATTGTAAATATGTTTAATATCTTTAACTTTTCATTTCAGCGCAAAAGTGAGGTTTTTAGGTGGGATTTGTCTGATAACCAGTGAAACAATTGCCATTTGAAGAATGATTTTGATGTTTTGTCCCCTTTCTTGATACCGGGGGTTATGGAGATTTATATGTGATGCACAGAATGAACCATATAAATCAAATAGTATGGAAATTGATGAAACTTTTGGCCCAAACATGGAAGAATTATGGATTTGGGATTGTAGGTTTTTTTTTTCTATTATAATGGTTGTAAAAGCTAGATGTAAAATGCAAACATTGAGGGAAGCAAGCTCTATGCTTATACAGCAAACAGAACTACAACTTACGTTAGAAGAAATAGGAGTTAGGTCAGTCCACGATTCAGAATGGTAAAGAGCCCCGAATCTTAGAAGTGAAGAAGCTACATGAAATGTTGTTTCTTTAGTCCTTGTGGTTTTTCATAGCCAATACCAGATATAGACATCAGCAACTGTAGCCTTGTTGATGATCACCAACCAAACTAAGAAAATGATCAAAGCACAAGAAAGTGCAGAGAATGAAATTGAAATAATGTGATGGGGACATCGGAGCATGGAAAGTTTATCAGAGGCGTGGTCGCCGATCTACGGCCACGATCGCGTCAATATATTTTTAAGTCTTCATATGTATTTGTTTTTATTTATTTGTCTTTGTATTTGCTTTAGTTGTTTTCCCCTTTTTACCCCTCACTTAAGGTTGGTCATGTGTAAGCTCAAAGGGCGAAGTTGTCATTTATTTTTCGTCCATTGTATGAGGCTATATATAACCCTCATGTTCTTTTTTGAAGGTTAATGAATGAATGAATGATAAAAAAATTTCTGCATTGTGAGTTCTTGTGAGAGCTTGGGAGGAGTTAGAGAGAGATCCCTTGGAGATGTAATCATATCACCCACCAACCTTGGAAGCGTCCGGTTCCGTGCCTCTTTTCTTCCCCATTCTTTTCTTTTCTCCCATCCCTTCCCTACTAGCCGTCGGCCTGTTTCTCCACTCCAAAGACGCCAGCCACCCCTAGCAAACCCTCCCCACCGCCGACTACAAGATCCCCACCACCTCGCCAAGCCTCCTCCCATCTATTGCCCTCATTCCTCTCTTCGGCCTCCCCTTCTTCCCCACCTCCATACCACCAAAACCACCTAACCCTAACCCTAGCCACCGCCAACCACTTTCCCCTTCCCTCCCTCCACAATTAAGCACCATCCATACTTGCCTTTTACATAAGCCCCCTAATTTGGAAAGTCATAATTTCAGATTTCCAATCAAATTTGAAATTTGAAATACTTCCTACTTTAGAAAATTTATTTTAGGAAAGTCTTCAGATTAAATCCAAAACAATTTTTAATTGGATTGAATTTAAATTCCCCTCCCTAATTTGGGATTCCCAATCAATCAAGCATTAATAACCTTTCCCTAAACCCCCCCTTCCTTCACCATGTCGCCGGTCCTCCCTCTCTTCCCCTGTTAACCCGCCGTATAAAACAAAAGAGAGAAAACAAAAAAAAAAAAGCTTGCGCCTATAGGAAACCAGAACTCAGATCATAAAGTCCTCGCAAAATGAGGGCGAAATCTCTGGGTAGTGTCTTATCTACAAACCCATCTGCCTTCCAAAATTTACCTCGAAACTTAGTTCGTTAAAACTCCCTCGCCGAATAAGAAGAGCGAGCGGAGGCCGAGGCCGAATTTTCGGAGCCCACATCCCCCTTCCTCTCTCCACATTAATTCCCCCACCCAATCACCTCAATTAAGTAATTAACTCTCTCAATTAAGAAGCCCCTTCCTTCTTTTCCCAAGGTTTGAAATTCAAATTACAAACCGACAGCCATCCAAATCCAAAATTCTGAATTTAATTTCAGATTTTGTAAAATCCCTCTCTCCAACCCACCTCCCTCCCTCTTCTCCATTTAAATCCTTGAGAGAAACTTCTTTCTCTCAAGAGGAGTTCTTAAGAAAAACAAAGATCTTCGTCGCCAACACTTAACTCCTATGGAATCAATGAATGGCCGATCCCGATCTTGACTCCGGCTTTGTCTACAACGAGCAAGGACACGTCGATATTCTCCTAGCAACATTCTTCGACGTCAACCCTGAAATAGACACCACCGCCGAAGAATACTAGGATCGCATCATCTTCACTTTATCCTAAGCAATCGAAGAGCAACTTGCCAATGTTCAGTGGCAAATTACTTCCGGTCCTCGACAAGGGTGAACTTTTTCCCTCGTTCAAATTATTTTCTAATCCTCTACTCTTGTAGGTGGTGATTCAAACACGAGGATTCGTGCCAAGATCTCTGCCTTCACTTAGTAAATGTAGGATTTGAGTTTTGCTTTCTATGTTTCTAATCTCAATGTTAACTTAGGGATTTTATTGGATAAATACTTAATTTGCATTCTGTTGAAATTCTAAATTACTTTGGTGATTCTAGTTCCTAGCATGTGATTTGGCCTAAGTGTAGCCATCCCTCTTTAGTTTTTCTATTTTCGTTTAGTGACTAACGTTCATAATTATTAATTGCTCTTATTCGAAACATGCAAGTTCTTATCGCATTCATCTAAGCATGCTTAGTCCTGCATCATAACTAGTCTGAACTTGATTCCACCAATTCTTTAAGGTTCACTATTGAGAAGTTTATGACTTAACGTCCATGAGGAAGAATTTTGCTTTCATTTAACGACATTTAAGATATACCTCTATCTTATGTAGACGACCAAGAACTTGGTGATGCTCAATGCTGAACCATGCTTATATGCACCATTTGATCGATGTAAGTGCCATACTAATTGGCATCAATGAACCTTATAGTTGATAAAACTTTCCGCACTTTGGAGAGATTCTCTCCATAAACATGTGTGAGGGGAATGTAAATGCGGTGGCTGAACATAGCATATGTATAAATTAATGTATGATAAAAACAGACCATAGATTTTAAGAAGGTTTCAAGATTGATTGAACCCCCCCCCCCCCAAAAAAAGGGTTCAAGATTGATTTACCCCCCCCCCCCCCCCAAAAAAAAAAAGATTGATTGAAATTCAGACACAGACAATCTGAATCTATACATTGAAAATTCTCGTCAAATGTTCAAATTGCTGCAACTGAAATTTCATCACTCAAAAGATAAATAGTTAGATTTAAGGTCGGCTTTTGCTTGCTTTGTCTGCTGTATGTTTGGAGCTACGAATCATTTCGCCTCTTTGCACTGCCCACAATCTTTATCCTTTCCAACCACTGCTTAGATTAATGATGATTTCGCTCTCTTCTAGTAGGCTCCATCATCATTTTCCGTGGAAATGGTCTGCGTATAAAACCCTACAGTCCGGTTATCATGAACGCAGTCAACTTGGACCAAAGATCGCTCCTGTATTTACTAATGTTTAGGCCTTTTCCTGTATTAGTAAGTTCTTAATTGTCAAAATTTAGCTCATTTCAAAGACTTCCTATTGCATGCCATGGATTAAAATAACTGAGTGATATCTATTATTAGAAGGTAGTCTTTCATTTCTGTAAATTGTATGTAACATTGCTGAACACCTCTGGATTACAAGTCATAGATTGCTAATTATCTTGTAGAGAGGTGAACTCTCTTTTGATCTTCTGATAGTGTACTCAATACTAAACTATGCTTTTTCTTGCTAAAAATATTTATTCATTCTCACCTGTAGCTGTCCTCATACTTGGTACTCCAATGCTCGGAGAAAGAAGCGCAATGTATTTTTGCATGTAGGCCCCACAAATAGTGGTAAAACATATACTGCTTTAAAGCAACTAGAAGCAAGCTCTTCAGGTATCCTTTTTTACTTTTATATATGGTAAAATATTAGATAAGTTTTATTAAAGTTGCTACAAATTCTGAAAAATTATTCCCATTACGTCTGCAATTTTTTATCTTCTTCATTTACAAAGGTGTTTATTGTGGTCCATTGAGACTGCTTGCTTGGGAGGTTGCACAAAGACTGAACAAGGCAAATGTTCCCTGTAATTTGATCACTGGACAAGAAAGAGATGAAATTGATGGTGCTAAACATACTTCTCTAACTGTCGAGATAGCTGATGTGACTAGCGAATACCAGTGTGCTGTTATTGATGAAATACAGGTGTGCCCTTTGCTTTTTTATGTACACTATATTCTTTCAGAGTTGTAGCACCTAGAAAACATGGGCTTTAGAGAACATTGGTTAAAATAAACGCAGACTATGTAAATCTATTCATGTGAAAGCAGACATTAGAGATATCATATGTATGTTTCCAGAGGGGTGGATGTAGAACTTCTTAGAGATATCATATTCATAATTCAAAATGATGGCCTACAGTTCATGATGAAGACAATCTAACTACAATTTCAGGCAATTATAAAACTATACGGAGAGTTTTGTCTTTGAATAGAAAATCACTAAATAGAGCAGTGACACTTGAGCAGTATAAGTTCGTGCTATATTCCAGGGTTCATCTAAGCTGCTATTATGTCATGCTATACAAAATAATTGGTCCTTATCTTCTTGCATTTCAGGCAGAAAAATTCAATCATTATTCTTATTGGCAATAGGTCTAAAAATATTACTTGCAGTTATTCTTAATTCATAATCTATGAATGTGCATCATTTGATACCTCGTTGTTCATATTTTTTCTATTCAATGCCAATCAGGTTTCTTGGATTTTTTGGATCCATTTAATATAAATATGGATGCAGAGTTGATATTTTAGTTCTCCTTAAAGTATTAGTTTTGTGTTTAAGGTGATCATTTATATAATGTATTTAATGTGGTATTGTTGTTTGCTACTGTGGCATTGCATCTTGAACTTATAAAGTTTTTTGATATGGAAGTGTGGGGAGGGATAGGGATAGGGAGGGCTTCTTCTTATTCCAGTTTGTTGGAAGGTTTGCTTTAGGATGATTTATGCTGTTGGAAGCCACGAAATCTCAAGTGAAGGAGGTACTTTGTTTACTCCCTTATTATACTTAAGGTGTCCTTTACAACTAAGATAAAAATATGTTATATTGCTGTTAGTATTTAGAATATTTCTTTTTTAAACAGTCTATATACTGTACTTTTGGTGTAAGTTATTTCTTTTTAGTAATTCAATTGCCTATTTTACTGAGGTAGCTATTTGCATTGTTACACTGATGCAAGTCTCGCACTCAAAATTTCGCATTTTTCTCTTTTGATCTTTTTTTGTGGTTTCATAGATGGTAGGATGTAAATCAAGGGGATTTGCATTTACACGTGCATTATTAGGGATTGCTTCTGATGAGCTTCATGTTTGTGGAGATCCAGCAGCGGTTCCACTGATTCAGAGAATACTTGAAGTAACTGGCGATGTGGTCAAGGTTTTTCTCTTGATTTACTTCTCTTTGTTAGAAACTCTTTTTGTTTTTCTAACTAAAGCTTTTTTGCCCCTAAAACGTCCTTGTGCTTAAGAACATCTCAATTTGTCTGTTTGGTCATTATTTCTGTTGTATTTTAACTTGTCCTATAAAAATCGTGTTGAAGTTGCCTTTTCCTGGAAACCCCTTCTTTGTAATCGAATGACAAATTTTCTTCTGCTCCTTAGTGGTGCCTTGTAATAAATAACATCTTTTGGCTTTCCGGCATTATGTGCAGGCTTGTTAATATTATTTATTTGCCACCATACCCTGTATATCCTTTTACTAAAACCATCATGATTCATGATTGCATAAGATAGAAATTACATCGAGTGCTGATAGGAATAATTATTATTGGTGAATGGTATTCTTCAATATTTTCCTGATTGTTCCATTCCAATGCCCTTGGACCATAAAACATTTTTTTTTTCATCTGCACTTGACTTACCTCATGATTTTATTATATCCTAATTTTAAACATTAATAATTTCTTGCTCTATTTTTTTCCTAGACCAATGATTCTAGTCTCAAATTTATGATAAAGTATAAGAGATCTTGACTGTTGACATTCTAGATAATTCTGCGGGGAGGTTAATCACACAACCTTGCTTGCTAGAGCTGTCAGCATCATGGACAGGATATGATCTCTTTGTTGATTCTAACCTTTTGCAACTTGTAATTTGACCTGTACTCAAAATCCAGGCCTGACGTACAGGTTGCATATAGTCCCAAATAGTTTTCTAGTATGTTATCTTCTCAAAGTATTATTGATATTTCCTGTACATTTTCCTTATAGCTCTGTCAGCCTTGTTATGTATTATCTAGGATGATCTCTTTCCATAAGATAATTTATCTTCTCTTTAAATTGCTGGCTCACCTTTCTATTTAGCTATTCTATTTTAATCTACTCCTTTTTTCATCTCGTGTCAGTTTTTCCAATCTATAAAAGACAATACTGGAGTTAGTTATTGATATTACAAATTGAAGGCCAGCTAACTTTGCATTGATTTTCCCGTCAAATTGAAGATCTGGCACCTATCATACAATGACCTGCACCACTTGGATACTTGAATCATATGTTTATCAAGTTTTTAAAAAGCATTTAAGCATGTTTTGCTCTATGGTATGGCATGTTTATGATAAAACACCGCCTTCCATTGGCCAATTGAACATGTACTTGTCAACTTAAATAATTTTTCTAGAAAAGGATCAAAATGATCCCTTAACTCTTTGGGATGGACCAAAATGATCCTCAACTATTTTGAGGGATCAATTTGGTCCCTCAACTCTTTAAAATGGGACCATTTTTATCTTAATATCCAAACTAATAGATGTTATACTTAATGATGTTAAAAATAGGGATGTTTTAATAATTTTTTAATTAAATTATTTATTATATATAATTTTAAAGTAATAATAAATTTTCAAAAAAACTGTTAATTGTTTGTTTGATAAAAGAAATTAATAATATTTTTAGTTATAATTTAAAATTTTTTAATCTTATGTTAATTATCTATTATAAATTTTAATATTTGAATAATTATCTAATTATTATTTAGAATAATAATTATTTAATTATCTAATTAATTTTAAATTTATTAATTTATATTAATTAAATTACATAAATTAATTCCATATTAATTATAGACGATTTGAATCGGACATAGTGATGTAGCTCCTCTTTCTACTCTTTCGCGAAGGGAGGTCGCTCGCTGCGAAGGTAACTATCGTTCTCCCAAGGGTTTGGTTGCTAGGGGATCTGCTGGAGGGTTTTCACGTACTTCATTGATGTTGGATCGGACATAGCAACGTTAGTTAGTGTTTTGAATGAGTTGCTGAAGCCTTCTTTTCCTCCTCCATTGATGTTCCTTCCTATCGAATCGGAAGTCACGAAAGTTAACCGTTCTTCCTTTGGTTGCTGGGGTTTGACGCTCGTTGCTGGAGGGTTCGAGGAATGAATTCTATTTCGAGGCTATAATATTTTTTTTCTCCAATCATACCCTTGCGACATCGTTCTATCATCCAAATTTTTCGTGTTTTTTAACAACAAGACTAAAATTGTTCCATTTTAAAGAGTTGAGGGACCAAATAGGTCCCTCAAAATCGTTGGGGATTGGTCTCTCCCAAAGAGTTGAGGGACCAAATTTTGCTCATAATTTTTCATGCCAACTACAAAAACAAATCGGTTCATTTCATTAGTTTCCGCACCTTCCCTCACATTTTAACTTCTTATAAGTTTTCGTATCTAGTTTAAATCAAAATCTCGGTGGTGTTTTTTGTTTTCTTTATTTGATTTTGGTGTGGTTTGCATTGTTTTAGCATTAAGAATCATATCAAACTATTAGTTGTGGGAATGCGGATATTATTGATTATATAGGGCTGCTATAATGGTCTTATGTTTCAATTTTTATGAATAAGATCCCCGCTTAGAATTCTGATAGGAAACATTTATCGAAATTAAAATAAACTAGGCTGAATTTGAATTTCAGTAAAGTGTGAAATCAGAAATAAGAAGAACGTAGGGGAAACACAAGCGAGAAATGGTTATATCGATAGTAGATGGAAGAAAACACACAAGATACAATGGTTCCTCAATTGTAGAGGATCTGGATCTCCCAATCTCTAGCCGATGGCTAGAGCCCAAAACATCCTAGGATACTCTTAAATTCAGCAAACAAGACCTCCCCTAACCCTAGGAAAAACACCATACTTAAAACATACAAAAATATCTCCAAATGCCCAAATCGCCTTTTGCGTTTGAATTCTTTCCCTCCTAGCAGCCGTCCCCCTTGATTGGCGGAAGCCATTCCGCCTAAAAAAGGAAGAATTTCCACCTTAAATAGGCGGAAGCCTGTCCGCCTAGATAGGCGGGGATATATTCCACCTCCAACTGGTCCAGGTTAGACCAGCTGGACCGGTCTAACAAATTCTTTCATTAAGTGCTGGTCCGAAATTTTTTGGTTATTATCTGATGATGATATGTATCATTGATTTATGAGTAGATTGTAGCTTATAATATCCTCATGTTTATAAATTGTTTAAGTTGTTCCTGGAAGTTGGTCTCATTGCCATTTGACTTTCCACCTGTAAATTTTTAATTGAAGAAATGTCAAAAATCTCTTGTTGTTTTCAAGGATTAGAGCATCTCAACTACTTCTGCTTGTTTTTCCTTCAGGTTCAGTACTATCATAGACTTTCCCCTCTGATTCCTTTAAATCATCCACTTGGATCCTCTTCCAACATAAAAACTGGAGACTGTATAGTGACTTTCTCACGACGCGAGATATTTAAGTTGAAGGTCAGACTTTAATTTCGTGATGTGCAATTTCTAGTAATATTTTAGTAGTTTCTCTTCAAGTACTAGGAATTTTACTTTAGTATATCATTACTTATTGACAAAGTGCTTTCTCCACTTACTAAACTCTGGGTGGATTTAAGTATGCCATGCTTGCTAAAAAAACACAGATTGTTGGTCTTCTAGTCAAATTGAAAATGTGCTTTTTCCACTTGTTTTAACTCTTTAGTACAAATTGCAGAAAAGTCCTCATATCTACCATAAAGATCTAAGCTACTTGTTGTCTTTTCATTGGTTTAATTTATGCTTGGCTCTCCTTTTGGGCTAATTGGTGAACTTTAATATCAATGCCACCCCTTGAATAATAGGGTGAATGGAGGAGAAGAGCGTGACTAGTTACCACTCCTACCACTCACGCAGCCCCTGGGTATATTTGATTAATCTAGAGTGAGATAGAGTGTGTTTTGAGGGTATATGGTAGAGGGAGCTTGTGTGTGCGTTGGGTGGGGGGGGGGGGGGGGGGTTCCTCTCACTTCCCCACCCCGGGATTTATTTATAATTTTTTGAGAGTGACATGACCAGTAGATAAGAGGAAGACCAAGGGTGAATTTGGAGTGGTTTGAATGGACGGCCGATGTTGAATCCCGAAAAAAGAGAGAGAGAGAGAGAGAGAGAGAGAGAGAGAGAGAGAGAGAGAGAGAGCTAATGATTGGTGATTGGTATGGCGACCCCAAGTAGTTGGGATAAGACTAATGATTATGATGTGAGTCTTGTGAGTGTGAGAGAGAACATAGATGCTGACAAAGCCTGTTGCATATTTTAGAAGAAATAGGTAATTAATTGTTGAATTAGAAAGGTTACTTTATCTCACCACATTTGGTAGATTGAAAGGACCTAGTTGTTTATTTGTAGAAAAAAGAAAAAGGGAATCAATTGTCTGATTTTGGAACAACCAGCATTCATCCACACTTTGCCTAACGCAGCAGCTACCTTTTTTATTGTTTACTTTACTCTTTTATTGGAAATCGTGAGATGATAGTTTTTGGTGTAGTATATATTTATTATTCTATTAAAAAAATAATATTAATTATCTGTCTCCTAGTTTTCATGGCTTCTTAGTCATCGTTATCTTGAATGTTTTCTCAGTAGAATAACATGTTTGATATTTTTGTCATTTACTTCTCCAAAGTGCTGTGATTTTGATGTCATTTTTATCTTAGAGTTCTGAGTCATGTTGCTAGACAACATTTCAAACATATAGATTACAACAAATGGAATGAAAACAAAAATAAAAAGCTCCACACAGACCACGATCACCCCATATTCCTTTATCTTAGATGAGATTCACCCATTCCTGTGTTCTCTTTTACTATAATTGATTCTTCCTCTGCTCTCAATAAGCTTGATATGTATCGACCACATCAAGTTTCTTGTCCCATCACCAGTCTCTATGTGATGAGGACAACAGAGATCAGCGGCTACGATCTGGAGCTTATTTTTTTTGATGTGTTTTATGTACCAGTTTATTTTATATTTCTATTTTTTTCATTTTACCCCTAGGGGTGGTCATGTGGTGTTGTAGCCCGAAGGGCATTTTAGTCATTGCTTCTTTTCTTTTCATGAGGCCTATTTATAGGCTTGTTCTCTTGTATTATGATTTAATGATGAATATGAATAAAAATTTCAGTTTTCTTGTTCTTGATATCTTTGTAAGTTCTTGAGAGGAGAAACCTTAGGAGAGGGCCACGCATCACCCGTGAGCCGCCGGTGGATTCCGAGACTCGCGGTTAGTACTCGTAGTATTTTTTTATTGTCTCTTCCTTTCCCCTACATCTGATCACCTCTTCTTCTCCAAGCACCCGCCGACCACTTCAAGTCCCCAAGCTGCCGGTCAACCTTAACAAGATTCCTTCCACTTAACCCACACCCCTTCCTCCTTAGCCAAACACCACCTAAACCCCAAACCCTAACCGCCGGCCTTCCCTTCCCATGGATCCAAAATTGATTGTCTTGCCTCTTTCCAAAAGTGGAGCATGAAGATTAGGAGGGAGATCCAACTCAAAATATGATTTCAAATTCAGATTTTGAATTATTTCCTAAATTGATATAATCCATATTAGGAAAGTGCTCAATTTGTGGATCTAAGTTACCTAGCCCAAGCCCTTGGCCCCCAGCTTGAAGCCTCCACCCGCCGGCCCCTTGCTCCACCATCTAAAGCCGCCGAGCACATCCTTCTCCCTCACAATAGCCGCCGACCACATAATTCCCTCCAAACTTTTAAATTTGAATCCACATTAAATGTTTTCTTAATTTAGCCCCACTAATTTAGGACGAGAATTAAATTCAAATTCAAAATATTTGAATTTCAAAACTCTTCTTAAATTCTCCTCCTTTAATTTAGGAAAACCCCCCAATTAACTTAAATATGAAATTAATTTCAGATTTAAGTATTCAATCCCCTTAATTGCTTGGGCGGCCTTAATGCCTAACCTCTTTCTCTCCTCTCTCCTTGGCCGGCCCCTTCCCCCCCCCCTCTAATTAATTATGTCCCATAAATTAAGGATCTAATTAATTCAATCCCATCCCCCCTTTCACTCCTAATTCCCACTCGTTTCAAATTCAAATTTCAAGGAAATTACTCTCTAATTACTCACTATATCTGAAATTATTTTCAGATTTAACCCTTTTCCCTTCTTCTCCTTTGCTTGGCTGAACCTACTCGATCCCTTCCCCCTCTCACTCTCTACTCTCTCTTAGACAATCATGCATGTCCAACCTGGATGTTGATCATGGGTTTGTAGAGGATTCTCTGGACCGGACCGACATTCTCCGATCTTCATTCTTCGATTTCAATTTGGACGTCGACGACTCCGTGGAAAGCTACATTGAACGCATCATCTTCACGTTGGCACTGTCAATTGAGGAACACCTCCCAACCGGATCGTGGATGATCGTGGGATGTCAACCAATCCATCCGTCGCCGGCTAGCTTCGGTGAACTCTTTCCCTCACTCTTTATTTTCCTCGTTACTTTCAATTGTGGAATTTAATTGATTCACTGAGATCGTGTTAGTCCTCCGCTAAAGCCTAGTAAATTAGAGAGTTGTGTGAAGGATCCTTCATAGTATTAATCTCATTGTTAGTCTATGGATTTCTTGTTGAAACTTTCCATGTATGCAATATTAGACTAATTAATTGTTTTACGATCTTAACTCCTACACATGTGATTTAGCTTAAGCTTATGTCACCGCTCTTTGTGCTTTATGTTGTCGTTCAAAATCACTATAAAGATATAATTATTGTGTTCTAAATATTAAGCGTGCAAATTCCTTAATCTAATCATCCTTGCATGTTATGTTCCACATCACTATGCCATGGTGAGATCCCCTACACAATTGTGTTTTCAACTCTATCAATCAAGCCTAAACCATTGTTTTTCTCTTACATGTCATCTTTATGAGCTTCGTCGTAGCTTTACTATCTGGCATCTGCGCATGCAACCATTCTATGGAGGATGCTAGCATTGGTTATGCATTTTTGAATGCTTCTGTCTACTTCGTTGAGCCTTTGTTTTGACCCTACCGTTATCTCTCAGCTCTGTCTTTGAGTAGATCCACATTCGTATTAGCATCCTCTTCAGCTCCCTTTCTGGCGTTCAAAATTGAGAGGCACAATTGCTAATCTAGATTCAAAGGGTCAAGTTGTGGAGCATTGTTGCATCCAATTGTCGAGTTGCATGGAAGACAAGGTATAAGAGTAAACCATCAAATCTAAAGTATTAAGAGAAGATTTGATTTATCGAGAAATTTTATTAATTGCATAATGATAAATATCTTAGAAGTAGCCCATTTCCAAATTAAATTGTGTATTACAAACTTAATGAGACCTCTTAACTTTTATGATAGAGATATGGATGCTGGTAGAATTTCTATTTGTAGCATGCCAATGAATTTTATTGAAGTTTCTCTCTGTATTTTTTTTGGTGATGTGGCTTTTGATTTATTTATTTTTGTGAGCATCTCTATGATCATTACAAAAATAATGGCTTAATGTTGATCTTTATTGTAACCAATATTGTGATTGGAGAGCTATTTAACCATTTCAACTCTACTTCTAAGGCTAGTCTCGTTTTCATTTGATATCTTTATTGATTTCATTATACAATTTTAAACACAATAATGCTCACCAAATTAGTTCTCGTGCTTGATCATGTCTTTTTAAATTCAATAAAGACAATACAAGCATATGGGCTCCGAAAATTCGTACTCCGGCTCTATTGTGAGAGTTAGATGGTATTTTGGGTCAAATTTTTAAAAGACAAATTATATTGAAGATAAGATACTACTCTGAGATTTGCTCTGATTTTGTAATGACTTTATGATTTGCTTTAATGTTTCCTATAAGCATAAACTTCTATTTTTAGTTATCCCTCTTGGTAAAGAAAGAGAATTTATGATTAAGACTAGTTGTTAGAAGCTAAATACTTAGTGTATAGTAGTAGCAATTTGATTTAAAATTGAGAAATTTGCTTTATTTGACTTAAGGATCTAGATTCCATGGTTGACAAGCATAATCAAGATTTCATGGTTATATAATATTAAGTTATCATGGATTCTGGCATAATTACTTATGGGAGGTAGCCCTCCTAATATGATTGAAGGATTATTGTTGATAGCAATGAGTAGTATCGTCCAATGGAATCTTGTAGACATGGAGTCGTGTTTGTATAAAGAGGATAAATTTAAGTGGATCTTAGTTAATATAGAGCCTTGTGCTCAATTAAGTACACCTTATGATTCATTACTTGCATGATTTTTAGTCATTGGAGAACTTGTGGGTTTTGGTCATGATCGTAATTAAATGGTGTCATTTTGTTACGAAGCCACTCGATCAAAGGGATTTGATCATAACCATTTACATGTGGTATTATTTAATGATAAAACCATCAATTAGAGAACACATGTTGCTTTTTTATTGACAAGAGGTCATTTAAAAATGAATCAT